ATCAAGCAATACCTGATAAACCAATGTCACTTGAAGAAATATCTAATTTGTTGCCTGTAACCAAAATAACACCTAAATGAACAAGGTTAACGTTAGACTTACTCAGGTTCACAGCTCAATGGATGGGGAAAGAGTGTTAGAAACTGTTTAATCAATCAAGTAAGACATTGTTAAAAAGTACCTTTTTAAAATCTACAAGCAGTAAAGCTTTATGCCAAGGTGAAACAGGTTCAAAGTCAATTACGATCAAACCATTTTGTTAAGGAGGAACCAAAAAATGCATGCAGTTGGAATTTGATGAAGATAACGTTGAAGACTTCTTTTCTATCTCTGATTTCTTCGAGAATACAACGTATCATTTTGTTTTTGCAAAACTTGGATTATAATTTATATATATATATATATATATATATATATATATATATATATATATATATATTATTTTAATATTTTTTTTTTGTTTATTATATGTTTTTTTTAAGTTTGTTTATGTTACATTTTATTTTCAATTCTTAAAAGAAATTAATGAAATTTTTTATATAGTTTTTTGAATTGATACCTCAAAAAGGTTAGGTGAAGAACCACAAATGCAATGCAATTTGAAATGCAATTTTAAGATTAGATTTATTTATTTAATTGGATTTATTTTGTGCATGCATCTTTTTAGCACTGTTTTTAGAGTTTTAAAGCAATGTTTCTGATAACATTTTGCAAACTTATTAAAGGCTCCAAAAATTTAAAAATATTAAAAAAAAAAAATTTAATGGCTAGTAGACTTTCTTCAACGTATTTTTAATTTGTAATGTTTTCTAACGATAATATTTATTATCATATAATATTATTCATGGCTTTAAGTATTTAATGAAAAAATTTAGGTTTTATGTTGCTTAATTTAAAATGATGTTCTGAGGTCCTACTGCATTCTGAGGTCCCTTTACCTATACTTGGCAAAAGTACAGGTAAAGGGACCTCAAAGGAACCCTCTTCCTCCGTAAAAATCTCTTCGGAACGGCGCTGGTTACCCACATGTCAAAGCGTTACCTTATTTACTCAGTCTGTTATAAATTTTTGCTATAATTGAGATACAACACGCAAGTAAAAGTCTGAATAAACAAACGCTATATATTATATAGTTATAAACGTTATAAACGCTACATATTTATATATATATATATATATATATATATATATATATATATATATATATATATATATATATATATATATATATAATATGAAATTTAGGTATGTGAAATGAAAAGAAAAATTTTTTATTTTATCTCACATACCTAGGGTGACCAGACGTCCCAGTTTTCCCGGATTTTCCCGGTTTTTGGTGCGCTGTCCCGGCGTCCCGATAAAGGTCTTCGGGACAATCAATTGTCCCGGTTTTGAAACAGTTATGCTTTTGAAAAAAAAAAATATTATTTAATTTTTATTCAACAAAGCGTTAGCCGTATTGACAAGGGGCCGCATTCTCATCTCTCCGTTAAGCGTAAGTCATCATCTCTCCGTTAAGCGTAAGTTTTTCGGCCGGTCGCCGTACACGACAAATGCCATCGCTCCCAATGATGTTGAACTTTGATTCATCACTGAACAGGACAGTTCGCCATTTCTGCACATTCCAGTCAATATGAGATGTAGCAAACAGGAGCCTTTTCTTCTGGTTCTTTATTGAAATCAGCGGTTTCTTGGCAGGGCGTCGAGAAAACAATCTGGCTTAAACAACACGTCGTCTGATTGTTCGGTCCGATACAGGCAGCTCTAATTGCTTTTTTATCTCGACTGATGATATCCAGAAATCCTTCTTGACGGATCTGACGATCATAGAATCCTCTCTAGAAGTGGTGAAACGCGGACTTCCACCTTTGTTATCTGCTGCCAACTTCCCTGTAGAACGATATTTGGAACATAGTCTTGATACGGTCCATTTTTTCACGCGATATTTATCACAAATACTTTTTTGTGACATTCCACTTACGTAATTGCCAATAATTTTCTTTCTTAGTTCCAATCCAACCCTGTCAAGAGCCATTTTTGCACTTGAAGTCATAAAAATAATAAAAATAAATAATCACGCTTCTCAAGGCTTACCGTGTTACATTTAACTTGTGATGATACAATAATGCTCTGTTGGAACACAACGTCTTGGTTGGATGTGGACTGTATTGATGTAATGAAACACTTGTTGTATTTCACTTCTTGTATTGATGTCCTTCGATAAAACACTTTGATAAAACTCACTTCGATAAACTGTCTTAATAAAACTGACTGATTGACTTCCATACACTGACTAAATTACATTTTGGTTTACATGTCTCTTATATAGTAAAAGGAACCTGTGTGAACCTGTTCTGGAAAATGAACCTGTGTGAACCTGTCCCCCCCCCCCCCCCCCTTCCGAGAAAAAAATGATGGCAATAATGGCGTCCTTTTAGTTGTGCCTTTAAAAAATTAATTCCCCTTAAAAAAAAATTTTTTTTTTGAAATTGTTAAAAAAAAAATTATTTAAAGTATATCTGTTTAAAAATATATATATATATTTTTGTATTAACTTTTTTTTTGGTCTTCTTGTCTTGGTTAAATTTTTTAACAATTGATTAACAAGATATTAACCAATAAGTAACATTGTTTTGATAGCGCCAAAGAGCCGATTATCTGAAAAAACCACGCATGCGGAAATAATCCATTTAAAAATTGCGTTTCAAATTTGAACAAAAACGAGAAGTTTTTTAACGTAAGTTTTTGAAGTTTTGTTAAAGTTTTGTTGAATTGAATAATCAAATTTTAATTAGTTGTTCTTAGGTAATATAAACTTCCTATATATATAAATATTAAAGCAAAAAATTTCTAATAATGATTTTATTATGTCAGTGATGTCGTCTCACATCTCACACAGTTTTCCTCTTCTCGATTATCTTCTATTTCTGAAGTTGTCAAATTGCTCAAGTTGATACTAATTACTCCAGCAACAAATGCTGTTAGTGAACAATCATTTTCAACAATGAGAAGACTCAAAACTTTTTTGAGAACGACGATGAAACAGCAGAGGCTGAATAATTTGGCAATGTTACACATCTATTCAAACTGTGCAAACCAACTTGATCCAAAAAAAGTCATAAAAGAATTCTGTAGGGATCTTATTTAAACAGTTTATAAAACACAGGCCCCTGCAAATGCTTCCAGATGCTTCTTCTGGAAACTTCTAGATACTTCCTTTAATTTTTTCTTTGATTCAGAATATATTGGCAACTTTCTTGATTCAGAATATATTGGCAAGTATAAGGACCAAATAGCAATTTCATTTTTTGATTGTGGTTATGTAGGCCTTATAATGCAATTCAGGTTTAAAAAAAATGTTCTATTTGCATATTCTGAAGTGTGCGGTTCTCAAAAAATTCACGAAAAAAGGAAAGCTTTGGATTTCCTTTTGTAAATAAAAAAAAACATTTGTTACTGCTTCTATCAAATGGGGAATTGATCATGAGCAAAATGCTATAAAAAATTTTATGCAGAGCATGTATCAAATCACACTGATTTAAAAATTAAGAAAAAGTGGTCATTTTATTTTGTATGACCTTACATTGCTTGCTCCCCAGATGGATTTATGGTATGCAAATGTCATGGTAGATTGTGTTTAGAAGTTAAATATCCTTTTAACATTTTTAATAAAACAATCAAAGAAGGAGCTAGTGAATGTAATTTCTTTACAATAAAAAATGATCAAATAACATTATGTAAGTGTCATAAATATTACACACAGATTAATTCCCAAATAGTAATCACAAATTGCAAGTCAGCATATTTCATTGCAGTCTTGAACTTCTACATTTAAGGCTTTAATTATATATATTTTTTAAGACACAGACTAATTATAAATTAGCTGTTACTTAAACAATCTTGCTTTGATGTTCTCTGGAAGAGCTAACTGACAAGATAAGCTAAGATAAGAACTAGCTAACTGACAAGATAAGCTAAGATAAGTGGTAGCTAACTGACAAGATAAGTAAATAATCTTCTTTTGAGTTTTTTTTTTGTCCCTTTAAACATACCTTAAAAGAAAAGATACCTTTTTTCTTAAGGTATGCATATTGTATGCATTTTCACTAAAAGCTACTGAAGATAAAGATATAGCAGTTAAAACATTTTAAAGGTGCAAGAATGTTAATTGAACTACTTGAGGTAAGCTGGAATAAATGTATATAAAATCATTAGAAATTGATTGTACATGAGTAAGCAAAGTTATATAAGTATAACTCACTAATATTTTATTGCAAAAATCAATAAAGCAATAATAAGCTTTTACAAAATTCTTTTTCCATAAATTTGCTTTATAAACTGAAATAACAATCTGACAAATTTTGATGTAGTATATAATAGTTTTGTATAATATATATTTCATCAAATATTTGTAGATGTTTACATAACTTATATAAACATTTATCACCCCCAACCTTTCCCCCTCCATCTTGCCATAAGTGATGTTAACAAAGCTGAAAATATATACCTATTTTGAGCATCAAAGTAAGATACCTAAAAATCCAAATTTTTGAATGAAATTTGGCAGGTGGCAAAAAAATAAATTTATAAACAATTGCAAAGACACTGAAGTTTGCTTAAAAAAGTTTTTGTATATTAAGGTATTATGCATGCCAACTCAAAGTTTTCTAATATTTTCTCTAAAGTTATCCAACATTTAGCATTCTTAGTTACTTGTATGTGAATTTTTTGTTTTAAAAAATGATATCTGAAATATATCTGAAATGTGACGTTTTAATAAATAATATCTTACAAAATGTATTTGAAATGTGATGTTTTTCAGTGATAGTTTGGTTATTAAAAATTTCCTTTTTTTTTTTATGGCATGATTTTCCTTAATAAACAATTATTCAATCCAACACTTACATTAAAAATTTTGAAATTGCTAATGTGTTTATAATAATTGTAAAAATTGTTTCCAATATTATTTTTTATTGATATTAATGTTGCTACTACTTTAGAAAAATGGAATGAAACACCTTTAAAAGAATACTTTGTTAAAAGTGGGTTAAAATATCGTTTTCGTGTGATATGTCATGGTGTTATTTATCCATTTCGAATCTCTGTTGATAACCACACATTGACAGTTATTTCTTCAGATGGTTATGATGTTAAACCTCGTGAATTTGAATCTTTAATAATAAATCCTGGCGATATGATATGACTTTTTAATTACTGCAAATCAAATTATCAGTAGCTATTGGATACGAGCAGATTCTTTAGAGGTAAATGTTTGCATAAAAAGATCTAGTAAAGTATGTATTTTTTTATATTATTTAAGTTATTTGAATTGAAAAAAATTTCATTTTTTGATTATTTTTAAATTTTAATTTAGTTTGAAATTGTGTAATTTCATTTAAACAATAACAAAATGTATACACATATATTAATAAATTATTATATATGCATAGTTATATTAATGAAAAAATAACACTTTTTGAATAGCTAGTGAATATAATATTAAATTTTCCAAAGAAAATGGTAAATGCACAAAAGTTTCATGCCTACAAGGCACAACAGGAACAAACTATTGGAGATCTGAAACTATTAAATGAAAAGTTAACAACTGATAGTGTCAATTTAACAAAAAAAGTAGAGGATTTCAAAATTAATAAATCTGTTACTGGTCATATAAAAAATAATAAAACATGAGCAAACATCGTAAAAAAGTCACCAGAACAAATGCTAATGATAAACTCCATTACTAGTGAAAAAAAAAAAATTTCTAAATAAATAAAAAAAAAAAATCCTCTAAAATTTTTGGGAACCCCAAATTTGCAGGGCCCCTGGCTATAGAACCCCCCCCCCCCCCCTATGATCCAGCACTGGAAAGAAGAGAGAACAACTTTATTATTTTCAGAATTAAACCATCAGGAAACAAAGAAAAAAGTAAAGAGAAAGTAGAAACAAGCTATAATGAATGTTTTTAAAAAATTTAGTAACTGTTTATGCTCAAAATTTTATGAAACTGAAACCAAGGAATATTGATTATCAAGCCCAATTTGTTGTGGTATTGAAGGATATAAGAGAGAGGAATTCATCTTAAAAAAAGCAAAAGAGTTAAGAGACTCAAAAGAATACAAGAATGTTTATATAAATTCAGATTTAATCGAAACTGAAAGGTTTAAATCAAAAAATTTGAGTGAAGAATGCAGAAATAAAAACAAAGAGAACAACGAAAATGAATTTTATTATGGAGTTTGAAATGTCAAAGTAAGGAAAATCAGAAAATAAAAAGATAAAAACTTAAATCATGGTTCATATTCACAAGTAAATGTTTTAAGAAATGCTGTGTATAAATTTAGAGGGGTAGTCAAAAACAGTCGAAAATAGCCCATGGAGACAGTCAGGGGCTATTTTAGACTGTTTTCAACAGTGTCAACCGTTAATTAAATCTGCCAACAAATCGAACAAATATGGTGTACCATAGAAGTTGGAAATGAGTCAATACTATGTGGTTGCATGTACCATTAGGGATGTGACTTCTAAATTTACTTGTAAATTTTTGGTATCTCTAGTTTCCAATATAAAAAACAGATGAACTTTGGTTTGAAAGTAACTGAAAAGTCATTAGTTTTATTTAATTTTTAAAAAAGGCTACTCACCATGACCCTTGATTACACACTGGCTCCCATATATCAGTGATTTTTTTTCTTCAAAAGTATATCAACCTGAGTCTCAAAAGAACCAGAATTTTATAGTATATAATTTCAAAATTCACAATCTTTTCTACTGAAACATTTAAAAAAAAAATATTGCAAACAAAATGTCATAAAAAACGACCTTTTTAATTTTTAGTTAAAAATTGTTGTTTTATGTATAAAGAATTTAAGCAATTAATTTTTATTTGAAACCATTATTATTTCTGAAATCTCTATGAAATTCTGGTTCTTTTGAGACCCAGGTTGATATACTTTTGAAGAAAAAAAAATTCCCTGATATATGGGAGCCAGTGTGTAATCAGGTTTATGGTGGGTGACCTTTTTCAAAAATTAAATAAAACCAATGACTTTTCAGTTAATTTAAAACCAAAGTTTATTTTTTTTTTATATTGGAAACTGAATTTACCAAAAAGTCACACCCCTAATGTACCATCCTAAAATAAGTGACATTCACAATTGTATGAAATGATTTCAAATAAAATATGTAGTGGCATTATTTTAATTGGGGATTTTAACTTCGCAAAAATTGATTATAGTGGCAAATACATTGCCCACCTGGTAAGAACCAAATGAAATAGCTAGTATGTTTATGGACTGCTTAGACGAATGTTATTTATTTTAAAATTTAAATAACCCAACATTTGAATTAGGTGATAAAACTGAAACTAATGTCCTAGATTTAGTAATAACCAAAAATAACTTGTGAATATATAAGCTAGAACATTATCCACCATTAGGTTCAATTAAACTCGGTAATCTCATTTTAACCTGTAATTACAGTTCATCAGAAGAAATTGGAGCGGAGTTTAACAAACAAACAAAAAAATACATTTATAATTAAGGAAACTATGATGAAATTGATTAACACTTAGATAGTATTGACTGGTCAAAGATATTCGAAAATTTAAATGCCAACCAGTGTTACGAAAAATGGTTATAATATATATATATATATATATATATATATATATATATATATATATATATATATATATATATATATATATATATATATATATATATATATATATATATATATGTATATGTATATGTATATGTATATGTATATGTATATATATATGTATATATATATATATATATATATATATATATATATATATATATATATATATATATTGTAACCAAAATAAAATAAAAATCACTTGTAATTTAAATTAATTAAATTAAATAAAAGCAATAATTACCATTAAGTAAATTAAGTTACCATTAAATAACCATTAATTAAATTAAATTAAAAAGAAAAAGCTAACTTTAATAAAAGCCTATCAACATGATCAAGGTAAACAAAAGTTTCATGAATAAAGTGTAGAAATGCAAAATTCAGAGTTCAAGAATTTGAGGCGAAATATAAAAATATTGAAAACACAATGAAAAAGGCTATTAAATATGCAGTTGTCAAATATAAGCGCGAAACAGCGAAAAATGCCACGAAGAATCCTTAAATAGTTTATCAATATATAAATAATAAAACTCAAATTAATGATTATATTCGAGCTCTTAAGAATTAAAATGAAATAGATACTGCCAACTTATCTGAGATGGCTGACACCCTAGAGTACTAAAACAATGTTGCAAAAGTATTTCAAAACTACTATTAATTATTTTTGATTGCTCATTCTCAAGTAGCATTGTTCCAAGTTTATGGTTATGTGCAAATATATGTTTAAAGAAAAAGATAAACTAAAAGTAACAAATTATAGGCCGGTATCGCTCGCATTGATAGTGTACAAAGTGATGGAAAGCATAATAAGAGACACTAATGAATCACTTGACTAAGTACAGTTTACTCCAGTGTGGAAAATAACGGGCGGTCAACAGTCAATGACAGCCCGAAATGACTGAAATTGCTGTTTTGACCTCCCAAAAAGAATTCTAGCCGGTCAAGGTTGACCAGTTGAAAAATCAGAGTTAGTCAGAAAAGTCAGAGAAATCTTTTGTTAAACCTAATTTTAAATTTTTTAGATTTCATAACACCGTAAAACTTTGATAAAGCGTCTAAAACAATTTTATTGCTTATATGCTACTTTTTAAAGTAGAAATAATTAATAAAATTGCTTTTATTCACTTCGTTGGAACGAAGCGAATTAAAATACGCATCGCTGCACCGTGAAATTCGTCATCGTTTATTAATACTCGCTAATGCTTCGACGAGTATTATATATGGCGTAAACTATATATATTAATTTTTTTGCTTCAGTTATTGAGATCAATTTTATTGAGTGTTTTTTCCTTAACTGATTGAAGTTCTTATTTTATTATTATTTTAATAACAATATTATATACAATAGTTAATGATTTTAGCTAAGCACTAAATTTATTTTTGCTCTCTCTATATCTTTTTATTTATTTTTCACAAATTTTCACAAAGAAAAAAAAAAAAATTTTGACCGCCCAAAAAAAGAATTTGACCGTCAGTTTTATGTATTAGCCGGTCAATTTGACCGCTCGCCTTTAATTTCTTATTTTCCATGCTGGTTTACTCTTAGACTCTCAACATGGTTTCGTGTCATCCAAAATTTGTTGCACAAATTTACTCAAAACATTTAACATAACCCAAGTACTTGAGGACACTTTAGCAATAGATATAGCTCTACTAGACTTTGCTAAAGCTTTTGACTCAGTTGTACATAAAAGATTATTATTAAATCCAATTATTTTATAAGTAAATGTTCACTTTATATAAAACTTTATTTAATGAGTAAATAAATTATCATGTGAAACCTTCATGTTATGAGTTTAATAAGTAAGTTCCCTGTTAATGTGTAAATCTTTATGAATAAAACTTTATAAAATTGACTTTGTTTTATTAGAAATGTATATATATATATATATATATATATATATATATAATATATATATATATATATATATATATATATATATATATATATATATATCATATTATTTATTGGTATTGAATGGAAAAAGATGTAGATGACATTATGATGATGAGTCTTTTGATTTACATATATAAAATGTAAAAAAGTACTTTAAAGCAGCATATTGAAACACAAAACAAAGTCATTTTGGACATACAGAAGTTTAATTATAAATTAATATTTTTTTTTTATAGTTATATTACTTTTTCAATTTTTATTTTAGGTCGGTAATCCAAATCACTATGTCAGAGCTATTTTGCGCTATACTAACTCCACAGAAATGCCAAAGACGAATCGCAGTCTATGTACAGTTGAAAATCAATGTGTTGTTTTAAATTGCCCATACAAATACTATCCTCAAAATGATTACACACTTTGTGTAAAAATTGATGAGTTGGAAAATTTAATTGATGAATCTCCACCTAAGTTTGAAAAAGATTCCATAGAAGAATTTATGAATTTTGTACAAGATACAAACCAAATGAATGTAAACGGCCGTCATTTTGTTCATCCAGGGTTTAATTCACTTGAGTTGTCTGAAGAAGTTGATGAATTTATAGACTGTAAAAAAAAAAACTGCAGTGGTTTTGAAATATGTTATTGCTACAATGAGCTAACTATTCCATATGACAAAACTATACAAATGGTGTGGTCAAACCATCCTTATGGTTCAACTAGACACCATCCAATCCATTTACATGGGCATAGCTTTTATGTATTGAAAATGGATTATGGTATTTACAATGAAACTAATGGAATCAAGATAAGTAATAACTTAAACATTAACTGTACTGGTGAAACATTTTGTGTTCAACCAACATGGAGAAATAATAGTTGGAAAAATGGTAATGTTCCCGGTTTAAATCTTAAAAATCCACCTATAAAAGATACATTAATTGTACCTGCAGGAGCTTATGCTGTAATTCGATTTCGATCAAACAACCCTGGAAAATGGTTTTTGCATTGTCATGTTGAATTTCATGCAATGCAAGGTATGTTATTTTTTAAGAAATTTTAACAACATTAGGTTTGTCATGTTGAAAATGACAACCTTAGGTTTGTCATGTTAAAAATGACAACCTTAGGTTTGTCATGTTAAAAATGACAATCTTAAGTTTGTCATGTTGAAAAGTAACAATCTTAATTATTACTTTTAGATTTTTAAAATTTAGAATCCGAGATTAAAGCAGTTGTATAATTTTTGTCTTGCATAATTTTTTACACCCTCTTTTTCAAAAATTTTTTGTAAAAAATTCTCAAATTGCGAATCCAGAAACTCTCTGGTTGAAAGAAATTTTTTTTTTCTTAATAAATAATATAAAATAAAAAAGCAAATAATTTATGAAGTATTAAATAATTTGTTTTTTCTTAGTTATTAATTAACTTAGTTATTTTAGGTATGGCAATGGTAGTTAATGAGGCTCAAGACAAGCAAGCACCTCTTCCAGAAGGGTTTCCTGTTTGTAAAAATTTTATGAATAATTTCATGGATTCCAGAGATAAACTTTCTGTCAAAAACGGTTTTTTTTTTTTTAATTTTTAGTTTAATTTTGTTGTTTAATATATAAAACCTACTTTAATTGATTTAATAATGATTTGTGATGAGTTCAAAAATTTGCAAACATATTGAAGTTTTTCACAATTTTCCAAAAAAGTTTAGTGATAAAAATTTATTGTCAAAATTTTTGTGATTTATTGTAAAAAAATACTTAGTGAAAATAGTTTAAAAATTTATTTATAAGTGATTGAGGCCACAGGGTATAGGTAATGTATGCCATCTTCAGTGAAAAAGTCGTTAGCATTTCAAATGGAAATTCATTTTTTAAGACAGCTCAGCTTTATGGATAGATATGATCTTATGAAGAGATATCAACTTACTGGATCCGCAAATACTCAAAAGCAATTAGGAAGACCATGCAAAACAACAAATCATCATAATAAAAAACTTTGTGATACTAAGCAGCAAAAAACCCCGTTTGGCAGCTGTTGATTTAAATGAACATATGAAACATTTTTATGAAATATCAGGGTTGAAAAAAATCATTTTTTCTAAATAAAAAAAAAAAAAACCTACGATTTTTAAAACTCCTTTTTAGAACTTTTAAATCTCCTCTTTTTAAAATAAGTTGTATAAATTAAAAAAAAATTAAGCAATTTACTCGAGTAAATTTTATGTTTTATCAGTATTACTGATTACAATTCATGAACCAATCATTATTTTATATATAAAATCATTATATAAAGTTATTTAATATAAACAATCATTATTTAATGCTCTGTATATAATAACGAGCTTTGCTACTTTTACTAATCTCATCTTGTTATTTAACTTTATTTAAGCCATATATATATATATATATATATATATATATATATATATATATATATATATATATATATATACTTTATTTAAGCCATGTATATATATATATATATATATATATATATATATATATATATATATATATATATGTATATATATATATATATATATGTATATGTTGTAGTATTTTTTCTAGATTTAAAAACAAAATGCTATATTTTGCAATTTTGTAAATCTGGCAAAAATACTACCAAAAAGTACTACTAAAATTACCTCTTAGTAAACGTTTTAGTACTACTAAAACGTACCAAAAAAAATACTATTATAAATACTGCTTTTTTTTAAGATTTTCACTTTTTATGTTATATTTAAATACATTCTATAATTCCATTTCATGTATTTATTTATCGAAAAACGTGTTTTTGTTTTATAAATATGGATATATAATTATGGTAATGGATAACATACAGTATATGATCAACTCATTAAAATAACTTATCATCCATAAAATATAATAAATCAATTATTTTTTAGTTTTATTGGATAAAAAAGAACCTCGCATTTTAAGCGATACAG